TACGCTCCTCCGTCCCTCCTTATGATAAACGATCCCCTTTGTTATGTAAGGTATTACGAGAGTCTGACGTATGACAGATTCTACGCGATTTGACTTTTTTAAAGACCACGCTTCAGTCTCTCATTGTGTTAGTAAGTATCGCGATTTTGTTTTTATGCTATTTTTAATTTATTTTATCAATGATTTTACAAATACGATCAATCTCAACTTACAATCCCCCCCCCCCACAAACTGAATTGCTTCTAAACATCTGGCTAGTTGACCATTGATTTCATATTTAATTTTAATTTTGGACTTTTTAAATTATTTTTAGGGGTAGGCTATTTTTTGGAGGTAAATACTTATTTAAACTTTTTGTTTCCAAGTTGTGCCGCTGAAGAAGTACAATTGAAACGTTCACTGAGTATTCGTTAATAAACCATCATTTATTGAATATAACGTCTCGTGCAGCTCGTAACTTTTGGCTCTTTACGACAGCTGTTTATACATTTAAGGTAGTTGTTTCGTAGAATTATTTATGCGAGAATTGTTTCAAACTTTTACAGATTATTCTTTACATTAATATGTGCAGAATAACTAATTAAATTAAAATGGACCGTCTCAAAGTTCTAAAAAAGAAAATGTTCAAGTTTGCTATGTTATACGAAATATTACGTGTAAAACACGTTGAAAATATTATTACACGTAACAATATAATTCGTTGTAACATTATTACACGTGAAATATTACTTACACATATTATTATGTGTTAAAATATTAATATTTGCGTTTGCAAACGCAACTGATGGCACATTTTTTTTCAAGCTTATAACAGTGAGTGAGATTCGTGTATGAGAAACAAATGTTATAAAATAAAATAGAACGAATAAGTGGGAAAAATCAAAATTATTCACCGTTCCGTTTCAACAATATAAACAACAGAACATCTATTTTATATTATGTATAAATCGTAAGGGTGTTTTTTAGAACAATATTGCATCAAGATATATCATTGTAATAATCGAGTGCTGGTTCCTGTCTGGCAGAAACTTTATTACTGTCGCGAAACAACTACCTTAACGAGCGCTGTTCTTTTATTGTTATACCTCAAGAAATTTCTAAATGGAATGTTACATTTGAAGCTGCATCCACGTGAAAATGTTACACGTGGGACATGTAATATCTAATAAATGCGGTACGAGTGTGTCGCGTAGAAGAGATGAGAGATGTTCATGACGCGTACATCTGGAAAGTGTTGTGTTTTCTGCGCGGCTCTTTGACGACTGGTCGGGGGAGTCGAATATCCGCATCAACACTTTTGCGTTATCTGTTGACTATGCGGGGCTCGATTCTTGAATTTATTCGAAGGAGAAACGTATGCGAAAATTCTGCTCTTACAGAAAAGTTGCAAGTTGATTGGCTATTCGCATGGCTTTAACCAATCGAGTTTCAACTTTTCTGTCAGAGTAGAATTTTCGTATACGTTTCTTCTTTAAATGATTTCGAGAATCGGGCCCGTGGTCCCTTTTGTCGGCTAATCAAAGGGGCCGCGCTTCCTTATCGAGTTGCTTTATTGAATGCCGCGAGTGCGTGGATACGTGAGATAGATACAGATTCGGCGCTTCGAACGCAAGTATAGCGCGAGCTATGAAAACGAGAAGTCCGCGAGCGCTGCGAGAAAAACCTCTGACCGATTCTGGGGCTCGATTCTCGTATTCATTCGAAAGAGATATACGCATGCGAAAATTCTATTCCCACAGAAAAGTTACGAGTCGATTGGTCAAAAATAACCAGGCCAATCAGCTTGCAACTTTTCTGCAAGAGCCGAATTTTCGCATAGGTTTCTCCTTCGAGTGAATTCGAGAATCGAGCCCCTGTGCGAAAGATCGTAGAGGAAAATACGCGAAAAGTCCTGTGAACTCAATAGAGACCCGCGACGTTGTTAGAACAAAATAATATGCAATTCGGATGATTAATACATTTGACGGTTTTCGAGGATATTAGAACGTTTCGTAAAAGAAATTATACATCCCACTCTTATAGCACGTCCGTGTGTATTTACCCGCTTCTTTCGCATTTTTACGTGTGTTCCCTTCGTGTTTACTGATTGCACCACGTAATTGTGCAGCTTAAAAACTGTATTAAAAAAAAACATACACGTTCCACTTGCCAACTGGGGACAAAATTGACGACTTTTACGGAATCGAGGGGGAAACAGCTGAGGGCATTGTGGTGTATTTGCGGCATTACTGGGCATTACTAGGCATTTTTTTGCATTAGTTTGGGCATTAGGTGCTTCTGGGGCATAAAGACCAAGTAAGATAATATAAGATAGTAAGATAAAGTAATGCCCAGTGGGCCAACCGAATTCGCTATAAGCCAACGGCACACGATACTATTTCTCCCCACTGGATTAATCACGAGAGCCAATCAGGATTCAGCTTTGAGTCACCTGATCGAGAACTCCGCATTCCGATTGGCGCTCGTAAGCAATCCAGTAGGCAAAATAGTATCGTGTGCCGTTGGCTTTACTTATTTATCTTGTTCTATCTTATTTTACCTTTATAATGCCCCAAAAAATGCCTAGTAGTGCCCAGTAATGCCACAAATCTGTACACGACGATGCCCTGAGCGGTTTAGCCCCTCGGTTCGACATGAACAACATTCACGGCGGTAACGTCCCTTTTCTAGAAAGGGATTTCAATAGACAGCCAGAGTCCCAATACCAGCACCTACACTTGTAATATCGGCGCAACGACGCCCGTGCGCGCTTGTTGTTCTTGGCAAATGAATTTCATTCACTCGTATAAGAGGTATTTACTCAGCCTTCGCGGGACCAGCGGTAGCGCCGGAAGCGCTCGGCTCGAATCGAGATAGCGCGGCCACATTAATAAGCCAGAACGGCTGGGATCTCGTAATGGCGAGGCTCTCCAGCCGGCGCGATGTTATCCGGCGCTCACTCGAGATCGGATTTCGAATCGCGCTCCAATTATTTCAAGCGCGGGCTCGAAATCGCCGACCAACGGTGGCGCGACAGCTGAAAAACGTGGACGCGGGACAGGGCGGTGGTAGAGGGGACGCGAGGGGGTGCAGAAAAAAGGGGGGCAAAAGGTAACGGGGTTAAGCACCCTACCTGTGGATCGTGGCGCTCCGAGGCTCCGGGGAAGCCGCCGCCGCGCGACCGCGGCACTCGGCCAGGGGCGTGGGGGCCTTGAAGAGGTCGCCGAACGACAGGTGATGGCTGTAATCGCGGCAGGCCCAGGTGTACCCCGCGCGCTCGTCGCTGCCCTCCTTCGCGGTCGAACGCTGTCGTCTACCGGCATTGCCGCCGCCGCCGCCGCCGCCGCCGTCGGCCGTGGCACCACCGCCGCCACCCTCGGAGAGATGGCGGGTCAAGGGTCGCCGCATGTCTCATTCGGATCGCGCCGCCGACTGAGGCCTCGGCTCCTCGCGCGACCAGCGCGAAGTCCGCTGTCGGCCGTCGCGTCGCCGCGATTCGCGCCACCCGGGGCGTCGCGACGCGTCCGACGACCGCTCGTCCGCGCTGTTGCGCGCACGCGCGCGAACAAGAGTGAACAAGAGTCCCCCCCCCCCCCGCGAGAACGTCGATTCGCCGCGCCGCGCGACGCGAGTGCAACCCGTTCTATCCGCGATAACCGGGGAAAAAGAAGCGTAATCGTAATACCAAGTGTCGGGGAGAGACTGCGTAGGCACACACACGAGATTCATCCACCTTGCGCGCCGCCCGCTCGACGGTGACGATAGCCCACTTCGACAGTTTGGCCACACGTTCCGCTGACGTGCGACTATCGCCCGCCCCGCGGCACCGCGGCCGGTACCGCGCCTACCTTCGCGGATAAGGCAGATCGCGCGACGCGCCACGGTGGGCCGATCGGAAATGATATTCGCAGTCGATAATTCAGAAATGATTGCGGATAGTTTTTGAATTTTGAGAACCACAGGCCGTACGTAGACACGATTCAGGCCCATTTCTGCCAATGCAGATTAATTTCAGTTCCGGCTCAACTAAGTTTTTATCTTTTTCCAATTCTAGAAGTTAGAAAAAGTGAAAAAGCACCCAAGGAGAAGAAAAAGTCAGGATGATGTCAATTTGATGACATATTGACCAAATCTATGTGAAATTTTGATCAATACGGCGTCAAATTGACCAAAATTTGAACATAAATTTGGTCAATATGACATCAAATTGACATCATCCTGACTTTTTCTTCTCCTTGGGTAACTTAAACTGAGATCAACGTTGGTCTGCATTGGTAGAAATGGACGTCAAAGTTTCATTACGAACGTCTCTGTTTGTCTCCTTTGTAATGGTAGATATTAAACGTTTCGCTACTAAAAATTATCTCCTCGTTTTGTGCAAAATATGCAATTATCATCTTCTTTTAAATAGGAAATTACGAAACAAGTACAGTTAGCGATCGACCAATTGAATCGCGTACACTCCTGAATCGTTACTTTCTCTCTTTACCGTCCACAGTTTCAATCGCAAAGTTTGCCGAGAGGGCGTTACTGCATGAGAAATTTTCTGAGCTATACGTTTACGCGAAACCGACATTGTTTGTATATGTTAACCTCGTCTCGACACCGGTGGAATTGTCTAATGGTAGATTTGCTGTCTTTAGGCACAATTTGATTTCAAGAACTGGGCATTCAATGAAAAGCCCTTCATTACGCATAGTATACTGTCGATAAAATGTGATTGCGCGACAGTCTTGTCAAGTGAACTCCGCGCAATCGTAGTATTACTCGCGCAGCGCAAATTACTTATGCGGAACGGCTAATTCAAGTACACAGTAATTGAAATAAGGAAAAGAGAGGTTAAAATTAATGCGGAATGGCCGCGTATTGCGAGAATTCTTAATTCCCAGTTAATAGTTGTCGCAAAATATAGATATTCGTGGTTCATCCGTACGCCGTATTCGCCCGCACACTCGATGAAACGAGCCACCGGAAGACTTTAAAGGGGGGGGGGGGAAAGAACAATAAGCGCCATAACAGGTTAAAGCAAATTTATTTGTTTGCAAATTTATTTGTGAATTTGCGTAATCATAAAATATATAATCCAACGATCAACGAGATATAACATCAATAGAGCTCGGCGCTGAACGTGACGATGAAACAATCAACGGGTGCTTCCGAAGAAGCGCTCGGGGCAACTCAGAGTTAGATTTAGGTATAGTTTACGTCACGTACACTATACCAAAATCTAATCCCGAGCTGCCCCGAGCGCTTCTTCGGAAGCACCCAACGTGTGGGGGGGGGGGGAGGAGGGGGATAGACGAACGTGATCCTAGAGGAAGTCGCGTGACTTCCCCGCAGTTTTTCTCGGGGTGCACCTTGTCAACCGGGTCTCATCATTTCTTTCTCTGCTCGCGATTTAAGAAGCGCAACCGCTTCGCGGCGGGGGAGTGAGTGGAGGGAAAGGGGGGGGGGGGGAGGAAAAAACGATACGTCGCTTTCTCGTCATTTGCACATGATATATAAAAATAGAATCCACGGTGCGCGGCGGGATACGCCGACGTCATCGGTCGAGCAATGGGAGACGAGAAAATGGGGAGGAGGGAACTCAAGAAGGTACTGGCGAGGGATCGCGGATTCGAAATCAAACTCGTCGGCTTCGCGGGGTGTCGCGACGCCGCATAATTTATATTACTCTATAATATTCGTAATCCGACTACGAGTCATATCGCTGTTGGCAGACGCTGTATTCGACGCGCGCAAATCGCGACGCGCGTTTGTCCGAAATGGGTGGAGCCCTTTCTCTCTAACAATAAGTGACGAATCGTCTCCGACTTCATCGAGGCTCGCCGCTACGTAAGGATCGATCGACGGATTGATCAGCTAATCGCGGCTCAGTTCCGCGAATAACGTTGTTATTAAATATGTTCTTTGTAGCTGAACTGGCTGCACTGGCTCAGAATTGGTCTCTTTCCTTCCAATGTGAAAAAGTCCAACTCCGAACTAGCAGGTAGTTGAGCCATAAAGGACAAACCTATTGTTATGTCCGACCTATCGAAGCGTACCACAGATCGTCTGCGAAGCAGGTCCCCCCCTCTGCGATCGAGTCGCATCCTCGAACCTTAATTGCTCAAATTGCTACGTAATTTAATTCCTCTACCCGTGTTTTATGGTTCGATTTCTTGTATATATATATGTATATGCGAGAGGTACATGTTATTCGCGAAACACGCGCGCGTTGTTTTTACTCTGTGTGACCGGGGCCGCGCCCAACTTTTTCGCAGAAGGGAACACAGATTGGCATAACGGACTGCTGGGCTAATTACAGAAGTTCCGTATCCGCGTGAGTAAGGCAAATCAAGAATCCCACGCGAATAGAGTAATAACTGGCGTTAGTTAATTAAATTAATTTTTGAGAAACGAGGATAAGAGAGCGATCTGCCTTACGGAAAAGTAACAGGAAACAAAATCGCCCGTGAGGAGACGCGGCGGAGAGGGGTGTATTTTCATATCATCTTTTTTTTCCGCGGACGATACAGCGCAGGTGCGGCCCAAGCTACACCTCAACATCTGTACACGGCGAATCGCAACTTGGCGATTCATCTTCGCGTAATGCACTATGATCGAGCTACAATATTGGCCATGTGTCGCTACGTTGACTCAGCCGTGCATAAATATATATGTATATTTATTTATTTATTTTTTTCTTTTAATCGCGACGCGATTGGAGACGAAACAGGGCCGCCGCTTCGTGCCCGTGCGCTACGCGCGTCTCCACTGTGTTGTACGATAATTATTTAATCTGAGATTGTTAAGGTATACGATTCTCTATCGGCTCTCTTTCCCTCTCTCGTTTCCTCCGTTCCGGACTCTCTTTCCTTCTCGCTTGCGACGCGGTCCGCATTCGCCAGGTCGAGCCTTAGCAGCCGACCTGGTGCAACATTGAGGCAAGCCGGAACACGCGCATCCAGGCGAACATGCCGGTGGATGGTGAACGGCAGACGGGCGCCCGCGTCGATGACGACGTCGACGAGGCTTTGCGTTGCTCCTGCGTGCCGGACGGCGATGTCCGGCTGAGGGTTGCATCCATGGATGCGGCGTCGCTGCTCTCCGACTTGCGCTGCTTCTGCTGTTGCTGCTGCTGCTGCGGCGAATACTTCATGTCTGCGGTTACGTGAGAGAGAAAGTGATTACGGGAGAGGGAGAGAGAGACAGAGAGAGAGAGAGAGAGAGAGAGAGAGAGAAGGATTACGCTCCGCATTGGCACAAGTGCGGAGGTAGGGAACGAGCGCTCGTTACCGCTGAAGCCATCGTGAGTCATACCGTACTATGTACTTTAACCTTTCGTTACTAACGGCTTAACTAACCATAGTGGCCTTCCGCAGATTTGTCCCTGCACATTGTACATTTATACTTACATGGTTACATTTTAGAATTTATTCTGTGAATTTATTTAGAGCTTATTCTGTGAATGCAACAAAGCATGCGCCTGCCGACAAAAAGAATAGGCAACCCGACTTACTGGTGTGCACGTTGCTTTAACGCCCTGTACACGAGTGACCATTATTACCGTCTGTCGAGGCTAAATAACGAAAAAGGAAAAAAAAGTGTATTCTTGAAATGTGTACAATTTTTATTAAACTGTGTCCACGATGCTGGAACTTGGTCCGAGTTCTAGTTTCGAGAAACGTGTAGCCTGCAATCAACGTGCAGCTATTCCATAAAAAGTGACTAGGTTTTTTTCTAATAGCCTCGCTATGCGTCGGTTTAGTGCCTGCTCCGTTTCGTTTTCGTGGTCTATCTGGAATCCTAGCTTCAAGAAAATGAATAATGGAAGCGACTAGGCGGTTAAAAGATCTGACTTGTAGTGCTTAGCTTTAATCTTTTTACTGCCCACGCGATGTCTGATATAACTGTCTATAATCTAATCGGACTATAATATATTCATACCGTTTCACTATGTATTATATTTATTTGTGAAATTGTAACAAACAGTCCGCTCGTAGAAATGCCTTTAGCCAGGCTTAATAATCCCAGTATTAAATAATGATAAGAAAACACACTGTCCATAATCAGAATATCATCTTCAGAGGATTTCTCAGCTCTCGGTCCACCTGACGTACACGTATATATCGTTTCTCTCTGCTAACAGTTGACGTAAAACCTCGGGAATCTAATACCTACAGCGATACATGATTTGAGTGCAAGCGATTATTAATTGCAATTATTCCGCGGGGATCGCCGGAACTTTTTACGTAAGTGTCGCGTCCGCCATCAACCTCGACTATGTTTATCCCGAAGCTCTTGCGGTCACGGTCGTCCCTGAACTATGCGCGAAGCAAAAATAATTAAGCGGCTAATCCCCGATTTCGTAAACCAGAAATGTGCGTGCACGTGTGCGCGCGCGCATCTACGTACATATTATATTCCGATAATATGCATAATCTCAGCAGCCGCGCGCTTTGGGAGATTTTATTTCGTCCAACTTGACTCGGTCTCGTGAAATTGCCTCGCGGCAATCCCATCGAGCCTCCTAAATCATACACGTGGGAACAAACGCGCGGGGCCAGTCGGCGGATCTCTTTGTATATACGTGCACGACTGTTTGTTATACCCTTGCGAAATCGCTGTTTCCAGAAGCACGATCAGTAGGTGGGCGTCTCTGATGGCGCACGCGCCTCTTTCGGCCAGCTGATTCCCTAGACCTACTTTTCGCCCCGATGATACGGACTGACATCATATATACACGGCCGTGTCACTCTCGAGCCCCGCGGCTGACGGAGGCCGCCTTTTTTTTTCCATCGCCGTTTTCTTACAGAGCAAAATCGCGCCACGTAACGTTGCGGACTGGTACACGCACCCCTCCAGTCCCACAAAATCAATCGTAGATATCCGAGACTCGACCGATTCTCCGCGCCTTCTTGCATTTTGTTTCATTGACAATTGCACAGAGAGAAAAAATAGTCATTTTTGGACCCAACCATATTTTTTATAATTCCTCCAACGTAAGTTATGGTTGACCTAACAATGTTATAGTTCTCATAACCACAATATTGGTCCATGCAACTTATAATATGGTTATCATAAACCAAAACGAGCTTTTAATTTAGTAATATACAATAATTGTATTGTATAATATTGTAAAAAAAAAACGTAATTGGAAGAATTTAAAAAATATGGTTGGGTCCAAAAATGACTATTTTTTCTCTCTCTGTGTGTACTAGGATTTTTTTTTTACCTTACTCCAACTAATCGAATATAAAGATGCCCCATTTACAATCGCAGACTCAATTCACGGGTGGAGATTGCCGAAAAAGTGAACATTATCACCGTCGTTACGTTACATTTCGGTGAACTTGGACGCGAAGTTTGTGGGAAACGCTGTACGAGTCGTTCGCGAGCAAACCATACATTCTCTGCGAAGACCTTATCTGTTTATCCTGTCTCTCCGATCTGTATATAACCGGCCGTCATGTGCATTACGCGATCGTGATGTCAGACATCACTAATAGTAGCGACGGAAAACTGCGCGCGTTTCGCCATGACTTATATCTTTACCAACTCACGGCTTCAAGCCGCGGCTGCGGCTGCAGTTGGGCAGCTAGTTGAAATTGAATCTCCAGAAATACGGTGCTTTCTTTATACACTTCCTTTTAGAGGGGATCCAGCCCAGTGAGAAATGATTCGTCGAAATGATGTCGAATCGACGTCAATTCGACGGTGTCGATGTCGATTCGACGTCGTTGCGACGTCGATCGACGAATCATTTCTCACTGGGAGACAAGCCCCAAGTAGGAAGGAATCGAGACCGCTTAACTTCTACGTTTCAGGACGATCCGTTTAACGTAATTATGCATCCGGATCGTTTTTACATACATCCGGTCGCAGAGAGGTTTCTTCTCGACAAGTTGCATGTACCTCTGCCTCATAGAGAATCTCGTTTCTATCGAGTCGTAGAAGGACGACAGATGTTTCGCGTAAGATCCAGTCCAAGTAGTGACATTGAGTGCAAATTATTCCCGCGACTTGCCACGCTAACACGTGAATATGCATCGCTGTAGGCTTTCCGTTCGCGCGCGCGAGCGCGCGCGTGTGCACGCGTGTCGAGAGATCCCGTGCCCTAAATCTTGGTCGTTGCTCGAGACACTGTCCTTAGATATCCGCGCGCTACTTCATTGAATGGGCTTCTGCTCGGTGCCAGCAAATAACGAGAGTTACGGACCATTGTCGAAAGCGGAATATAAATCGGTAAACGGCGCGTACGTCTCCGCGCATGCATGTGCGAAAATATCGTCGGATATGCGTACAGGATACGAGATCATTAGATAGACCTTGCCCGCCAATTGCCGCGTGTTTAAATAAAAACAAAACTCGTTACGCACAGCAGCGAAATTACGTCGACTAATTTTGCAATTGCGATTGTCTGCCGATTGCGCTTTAAAAGGAAGAGGCGCGAAATGGAAGAGCGGAGAAAGAAGAGGTTCTCTTCCGCATCTTGGATTACCGCGACGTCCTATTGTTAGCAACTTAACTATTATTAAATGCAATTGTCTCGAGTATCGACAGTTCTCAGAATAGAATCTGCTCGGATAAGACCACCGCGAAGGGAAGAAAAAGGATTTCCCGAGGCGGATCGCTCCTCGAAGAGTCCAATCGCGCTTCGAACCGTCCACTCTGGTTGGTGGGTTGGCGCGATCACGATGTCGCGCTGTCACATTAACTCACTGACAGCAAACTAGTTTCGCCGCGTGAATTATTGATTAATTTAATGCGACAACCGATAAACTCGCTACGACAGACGGGGGCGACTTGCGGGCTCGAAATCGAGACCCTTCCTGGACAGTCGGGACTCCGATTAGACACATGCCTCGGAGACAGGTGTGCATACAATCAACGTTGTTAAAAAAGGAAAAACGCTCAAGGCGGAAGCTTGTAAAATCATTTCGGCTTTAGCGAGAGTGCATTATAACTGCCAATGGTAATTATCGTCGTGCTTATACCTCGCTACGATGGCTTCAGCGGAAGAAGAAATATAACAGTCGCTAAATGTCAAAACCATGTTGAATCGATCCGTTAACCGTATAGCGCGAATGTTGAGGCAAGTGTGACCTGGCTCGACGACGGATATTCATTTTCGATTTCACGTTCTCACGAGCTGGCGACGTTACGATAACCCGTGATGAAGACGCACGCCGATGAAGGACGCGTCTACGCGGTTTTACACAGAATCGCGAGGAAATGATCCTTCGCGACGCGATTGATACGTCAATTGTGTCCGTTTCTCACAGTTGCCTCTGGATTCATCGGATCTCGGTGTGTTAAACGATTCTTGAAACGACGAGGGACCGTGATCAATTGACATTCCTCCCTGAATCGTGCTTGGACCACTCACCTGATGGACTCGTGGTTGATCGTTATAGCCCGTCTACCGAGCGAGCACTTAGATTGGATCGGCTGGCTAGTTGGTGAACGCGCGACTGGTGAACCACAGTGGTCCCGTGCGCGGCGCGTAGCGTTCTGCGGACCACGGCGACGAGGTGCATCGAGAGACCGAGGGACAGGAGGAGAACGAGAGGGAGGACACGGGAGGAGAGGCGAGGTCCTCCTCCCCGTCGCACACCTCCACGTTGACGCGATCGTTGGGACGGCACACGGAGGTGAAAGTAGTGGGGTGCTCGTCTTCGTGGTTGCGCACTCCGCAGCGCCGGCGCTGCATCGACCCATCGCTCGGTGGTTCCTCGATGTACGAAAAAGACCAACCGCAGGGCCGCGTACTGTCGTACGCCGAAACACGCGTCTCGAACCCCGCGTATTATTATATATCCTTCCTCTTTCTCCCTTCCGCTCCTCAACGTTTATTCGACAATCCATTCCAATTTCTGCGCTTGCCAACTCATCCTATCGAGGAACTTCGGGCCTTCAACGTCGTCGTCGGCGACGCTTCCGTACCAATTCGTTGCAATTTATTTGCTGCGGAAAGAGATCCGCGTATCCTACGCAAGAACCGCGTCCCTTGCTTATTTAGGGCGATCAGACATCCTGAACTAGGTCAGAGCTGAAAAGTTCACGAGGACACTTTGAAAACGAGAATCTGTGGCTTCGTGAATTTTTCCACATTTTTAATCTCATATTTATTCTCTTCACAGCTACACAGCTCGACGATTACGAAAACGATCATAGCTTTGCACGATAGTTGCTTCTATAAGTCGCATGATTAAACGGAGAACACCATCATTTACACCCTCCTCCCGTAGCTTCATTTATCTTACGAGTGCCAAGTTTTTATTTCTGTATAGTCAGATTTTCTGTCTCGCGTGACTCGGACTGCGCAAGGTGCGATCGCACACATTTCCGATGCCAGTCAGTCAGATGATCCTCGGATCGCCCCAAAGATCATTTGATTTTTCTCGCCATTATCTCGACGGGGAGCGTGCGCGCGGCTAAAGTTGTGCGGTGGTCGCGCGGCGCAAACATAAAGGTGTCCACTCTGATCGATATTCGCGCTTGTACTTGGACTTTTTCCAATATATGAAAAGCCGCGCATGATTGTTCATCAAAACGTCACGATTACATTAGCCGCGTAAAATATGCACGGGATTCTTGAACAACGGCAACTAAAGTCAAACGATAATAGACATGTTGGGGTCAATTCTGTGTCTTACAATATAGCGAAAGTGCCAAAAGTGAGCGACTTTGTCTCTTTCTAAAGAGACAATTGTAAAGAGATAAAGCTACTCACTTTTATCACTTTCACTATAGCGTGAGATACAGAATTGACCCTCTTATCCCTAACATCGAATGTAAATGGAGCGAGACATAGGAGAGCCTCCTGTACAAACGATATTTTTTAGTTGGGTGTATTCAGGGTTGGGAAGTAACGAAGTTACAGTTACTTTTTTGGTAACTCTAACTTAACTTCGTTACTTTCTCTCCGTCTGTAACTGTCACTTAACTCGGTTACATTTTTTCGATAACTAATAACTAATTTAATAGTTACATCAATAGTTACTTTATATATTTTTTAAATCTCTACAGATCGCATTATGCCTTGCATTTGCACGTAAACGCTTTTATCGACACTTTACAATTCAAATGCAGATTTGATACTTTTATTTTTATTGCGAGAAAGTAACTGCAAAATAACGCTTCGTTACTTTTTTAGTAATTGTACGCGTCATTTTTCAGAATTGGTAACTTGTAACTGTAACTAGATACTTTTATAAAGTAACTTTTCCAACCGTGGGTGTACTATTTTATAGAAGACTCGCTCTTCGATGCAAAACCCAATTTTACGTTGGACTTTGCGTTTAACTTTAGCCTTTTAATGTAAGAAAAATTTAATGGTTAATATCGGTCCTGATTCGCGACATTATTGTTTATTAAAAAAAACTTGGCGCTGCTAAGCCGCTGAAATATACACGTGTAAAATTATCCTTTTAATTATTTTTCTACTTTAATTTTTCTACGAACATATGTAATTATATGTGAAACATTGTTTCGACATGAACAATGAAATAACGATAGAGTACCGATTAAAAGCGCGACTCAGTTTGATTATTATACGCGTTATCGCACTTTACGAGAATCACATGGCCGCGTTAGCGCGCAGAAGTTAGTTACGAATTACTTACGACTCGGGCAGCTTATACAGTGTGTTTTATTCGTTATATAAATGCTGCTAATGCATACAACAGCGAAGTGCGTTTATCTAGTCCGCGGGAACAATCTTTCATTGGAGATGTCGAGCATTGTCGACGAGTAAAAATAGTTTGAGTTACCCTTTGACGAACGCCACACTTGTGGTTCCAGGTCAGCGAGACACCCACAAAGGATTAAAAAAAAGGGATCATTCGTTGTATAATTTTATAAATACTAAAGAGTAGAAGTACAAGTCTTTTTATCCAAGTATTGTACTAAGTTTTACGTACTAAAATTTTAAAAATAAAAAATTTTTATGTAAATGATGTGTCAATATAAATTGACACGGCTATTTTTATAGATAGAATCTTTCAAAGACAGTAAATGTACCTTAATCGTTGGAGTTTTTAAAAAGTCTTTTTATATCCGTATAAAGACAAATTTTACTCTTTAAAAAATTTACAGCTTTTAAAAATTATGAGGATGATGAATATTTAAGATGACTCTTGCATAAACCGACCAAAAGTAGAAAAAATAGAAATTTAAGTATGTTACAGTTGCAAGTTTTATCTATTGGTACGCAAAATCTTAAACCCGGTCGCCGATGAAATAAAAGAAAGAAAAATATTAAAGTTGTACTTTTTAACGTACGGGGTTGTGGGCCGATCACTCGCAGAAGCACTTTGATGAGGGTTAATATTACTTCATAGAAAAAGTAGATGTTAACAAAAAACGAGATAAACGTAATAAATGTCGTAAGGATTTAAATGCGCTATTCAAAATAGACGAGGCCACCGACTTCTGCAAGCAAGTACTTATTAATAAAGTAAAAAAAAAACTTTTGAGGGAATCTGACAGCTCTTTGACATTTGACGTCACATATTCTTAAACGCGCATATTCCAGCATATCAATGCGTTTGATCAATAACGCGTGAAGATTCAACTTTTTATAAATATCTTATACATGCATAGATATGTTAATATTAATGTAAAACGTTAATTTTTTTCGCAAGGATTCAAACGTAAACTTACCTATCGGCAGCATACCACGTTGAAGAGCACGCACTTTTCGGCGTGGATGGGCTGTTGGGTGAGCTTGCCGTATTTGCGATCGATGACGACTTTGTCGAAGATGTCGAGATCCCGCTCTCCGACGTACAGGACGATCGATTGTCTTCGCTACCGTAGGACCCCGGTTGCCAGGAGTACCTTGTTCTGGCGCAAGGACTGCCGTGATTAGGGCTCGATCCGCGGGAACTTGACACGCTTTTCGGACTCTTGGGACTGTTGAGCCCACTAGAGCTGAAGACACGACCCAAACGCAGTCTCAGAGACGTTTTATCTTTGAGTTTTACAACACAATTGCCGTCAGCGTTCGAAACGGCCTGGTCGGGAGGCTCCAAATTGCTCGTCATTATTCTTGAAAAACGATTCGTTGACATGTACTTTACCTTTTAAGTACATTAATGGATGGAATATTATCAGCTCATGAACTTATAAAAAATTGAAGTATTCCTTAAACGCGCGTGCTAAAACTTACAATCAGTCGAAGGATACGTCACACGCGAATCTGAAAAATAATTTAAAAAATTGCAATTTATATTTAAAATTAAAATAGCTCTTCTTGCTAATTCGCGTTTAACTTTTTTTTCACGAGTATCACCGACTGTATTCCGCGGTTACCGCTTACGCGTTAAATCATGTTAACGCTATTCAAAATATTAGAGTATGTAAACTGTACGCGCGACTCGTTGCATCAGAACAGTGCTCTAAGAGCGACTGCGTTGAGATTTCCCCAAGGAATTGGGTAAAACCCCAATCGCGCCATAGACTTCCTGTCGGCACTAACCGCATCCTTCCGCCTTCACTTTTATCAACCTTGGAAATCCTTAAATGTATACATATATAAAGCAGGAAAGTCTAATAATAGGGCGGGAAAAGTGTAATATATGTGAAAGCGATAAGACGCTCAAATACTCCACGCCGGTAGTACTTGTCTAATCTAATCGGAACTCGAAAATTATAGCATATCAATGATAGCTAATCGCTTTGTAAATACTCGATTATCAGATTCGCTTTAATCCAACTGTCGCAAGGGATTGAAACCTCACACAACTCGACGAAAGGAAGTAAGAAACGGGCGAATTTTTAATTACCTAATCTGTATTTTATCTTTGATTTATAGATCAACACTCGCTGCATGGTACAATGATAATAAATAATCAAGGACGCGGAATCCGCGGAAGAGTGGCTCAACCACTCGCATGGCGGGCGTTAGCGCTCCTAAGAATATCTCTTCGGTGTGATGAAGAAGAAAAAGAAGCAGGATCTGGGCTAGCCTGATCCTTGTGTCACGTCATTTACATACTTGCAATTACCTACTTATCAACAATACAATAACAATTCATTACTATTTGAACACGTATTGCGAACGCTTTTGAGTACCATCGAGAGGAGAGTCCAATAGATGAACACGAGTGAGATGACGAGACGTGATGAGATGATAATCGTACTAATATCGCGACTCATGCCACGCGCGGCATCTTGCGCGCGCTCGCTCGCTCGCGTTTGTCGTGATTTCCGCGATCGACAGCATGCACGCGAGGAGACGTCTACTTCGTCGATTGTTCCAGGTAAGCTATAAGATCGCCCCGCTCCTGCGGCTTTTTCAATCCGGCGAACACCATTTTCGTGCCGGGAATGTACTTCTTTGGATTTTCTAGATACTCGAACAGGGTATCCTTATTCCAAGTGATACCTAAAACATAGCAACGCGCAGATTACAATTAGATGTACGTTACATAAGTACACATGTTTATTTCACGTATACGTATAACGATCACTGCTTAGACAAGAAGATAGATAGATAGATAGATACAGAAATAGATACAGAATAAGTGAATTTTGTATCATTTATAGATGTGTCGTCTTTAACTATACGTCAATAAATAGTTGAATACATACCTTTGGCCTTGTTGGCATCGGTGTATAGGAAACCCGGGGCTTGACCAGTTTTCCTACCTATAAGTCCATGTAAATTGGGACCTACTTTGTGTTTGCCACCCGCTTCGACAGTATGACACTGTGCACATCTTTGAATAAAAAGCTACAAAAAAATACATATCCAATTACGATAAGTTGTTGCTTACAAGATTATCATACAAATTTTGTCTTCCGTATTTATTACCTTCTTGCCTTTCTCTGGATCGCCCGCCGGAACACCCATATTTATTCAATTGTCTCTGGAAAAAAAAGTTCAATTATAGGAAAATTGTCTCGCTGAAAAAATACAAATGATTGTTTTATCATCACGTGTCACACGCTTTGTTAGATTTTATCATTATTTGACGTTGATAATAAATATTCGAAGTTATAATCGTTGAATAATATTAAAATTAACCGCCACGTTGTCCGTCTGATGCAACAAGTCTGCTTGATACTCGGACGGTTACAAGAATTCAAAGTCGGTCGAAACGGAAAACGCAACGGAAAAACAGTCTGTCGATCGTCTAGACAGCGAATGTAATTTGGGTAAAAACGTGTGTTCATGTCGATGTTGTAAATAAAAAATTTTATCTCGCTTAACTTGTTTTCTATCTTCGTTGAAATATTTATAAGGATTTTTGTACCCGGTAACAGGCTCGCACTGTCGTTTCTTTATTCCCTAAATTTTGTATAGATCACTCCACAATAATAATTATATCAATTTATTCCACTCGATTTGGCAGGTGTAATTTCGAAAAATTTACGAGAGGTCTTTTCACGCGCTCCGCTGCGCCACCGTGCTTATTTACGAACGTTGCTCGGCGTAGAACGAGTACTTTTGGCTCAGTTTTAATTCAAATACAGACGCGCAAAGAATACTTCTGAACCGACTTGAGGGGCACACACGCAATAATACAGGATGGCCCAAAAAGGTCCGAGGCCCGGAATATCTCAAAGGGGTCAAGTTTTCGATAAAAAAAAGAACCTAATCCAAAACTGGATCCACTCATCAGATAGTTCTCTTTAGCTCAATAACTTTTCGATTAAACGTTTTTTTTAACTTAATCTCTTCGAAAGGTTCCGATTAGAGTTCCTATAATAAGAGTTGAGACAAACCGTCGCCATGTACAGCCAAATTTGTGTTGGTCACCACTGATTTGCTATCTTTAGGTTGACTATTATACTAAATATATACACGAACATATACACATATACACATACATAGTAATAAAATCCGTACATTACGTGCAATGTATACGTTATATGGTAGTTGTTTCTGTGTTTGCTAAGAAGTTAATATTAATTATTAGTATTAATATTTATTAATCTAAACAGATTTTTTTACTTTACACATAGCGCTGAAAATTTAATTGGTGTTCAATTGTCTCGCTTCATATTAATGACCGAAACATCACGTCCTTCCATATCTTTTAACGGAAAATGACACATTTTGAATTGGTGTTGAGGACGAATTGAAACACCCTGCAGCTGCACAGTCTGGCATTACAACTTTTATTATATGTGCCTATTATGTAACGTAACTTACAAATTGTCGCGTGTTTAAAATTCGCGGTTGCTCGGCCGTTACATATTACTGACTGAGGCAACCAATCAAAAGTCGTCACTGCACTGGCTTTAACTCTCATTATGGGAACTCCAGTTCCGATATCCCTTTGCCGATATTTTAATAGAAACTCACCAACTTCGAGACGACTCACCCAGAGCAAAAAAATTATAGTGTTTTGGAAAGGCCTCGAAAGGGGCCACAAGAATACGCAATAAAAGGTAGAGGGTTCAGTTTCAAAGATTCATGACCTTGTCCTGACCTTGGCAAAGCCACCGAGGGTCAAACTGACGGCGCCAGTGCACAGATCGACTTTTGTACCGAACCTTCCTCTCGGAAACTCGATCCCTTCGAGACAACCAGGGTGTCCCGATCTTTTTTTTTGTCCCCCCCCCCCCCGAGACATTTGGTATGACGAGTTATTATATAATTGATACTTGCAATTCTTTCACGAAGTATCGCGCGCTTTCTCTGCCCTCGGATTGACATTCGCCCGTGACGTTACGGGTATCGCGAACGAAACGCCGTTGCGTCACGCGGAGTGCAATCTTTTTTTCCTCGTGATACGTCACCGCTCGTGACGTGTCGGAGAAGCGCATTGAAGAACGTATCGGGGCTCGCGGGACTCCCGGGCGATAGCGGAACAATCGTCGCGCGCGATAATCGTCAATTTTCGAATTGGTGGGCGATACTTCGGATGACCAAAAAAAAAAGCGTCATCGGTGACGTCACGCATCGAAGTCACTCGTGGGCTCGAGTGACGTAAGAGACGAAGAAGACGTTCGGGCGTGCGGCTCGAGAAGTGACCTTTGAGCCAATTCCATCAATGCCAATCGATCCGACTTGTCGGACGGATGCGCTCCTTTTTTTTCTCCCCCCTTCGAAATCCCCCAGGGTAAAGATAAACGGCCGTGAATACCGGCAATAACCGCGATTTCTGCCGTCGGAAGCGATCAAGACGTTAGATCTTGTTATCGAGATATCAATCGGAGCCGAGACTGCCACTCGGGGGGAGGAAGGGCTTTTCCGAAAAACGGAGCAGCGCCGAATTTCGACCAATCAATGCCGGAGAGGAGGAGGATGGGGGGGAGGGACAACATCCCCAACGATTCTCCCTCGCGCGACGACACTCCGTCGAGCGAAGGGCGTTTCGCACGACCCTAAAAAAATGACGCATTCTCCCGCACTCGGAATGTCCCCGAGACTGGCCCGGGGCCAGGGTTAGACGCGTTACGTAAGTCGCTACCGTCCAACGCGGTCACGCGGAACGTCCGACGAAAGAGGAGCCAAGTCCAACGCGAGGGCAAAAGGCGGAGGAGGAGGGCACACGCTGCGCGCGACCACGCGCTGACTTTTCCTCGCTCGTGAGGAACGCACGAATTCCGCGGTGCATCCCCGGCGATCGGCCACGCCGTTTCCGGCCCCGCGGCTCGGGGATTTCGTGCGAGAGACGAGCGCGCGCCGAACACCACGTGGTGCCGTTCCGGGGGGATCGGCGGAGGTGCGAAAGGGAGAAAGGGTCGCTCCTGACGGTCTACACGGCACGCACTGTGCGTGCACGCTTCCCACGTGCGTGCGCGTACTCGGTCGCCCCCGTACTCACCGCGCGCCTCTGTCACACGAAGAGATAGAGCGTAGCTGACTGGCCCGTAGTCCGACCGTGAATACTGGCAGCCGCGGTCGACGTGAAGTCACTGGCTCTGGGCCTCGAGCGCGATTTCGGAATTCGGAGTATTTCCAATGGCTGATGCAACCCGACACACGCACGCACGCATGCACGCTGGTTCATAGGCGACAGCCGCCAGATGGCAGTAGGGAATTCAGCCGCGAAATTTCGTCTCTGGAGTCGCGCGTTCGCTCCCTCTCTTTTGTGTGCATTCGCTTGCGTAGCGGGTGCCGCGGATGCCTCGCTTTATTTTCATTTGACATCTGATGTGCGTGCAACGAAAACAGAATGATGCCACTGCGACAGTCGCTGCGTAAACGAAAGTACATGCACTTTATGTTCATAAGCGGGAAGTATGAAGACTAGGGCCGGTATTCATAGTCGGTTCTTATTTCAAAATCATCTCAAGTGTTATCTAAAGCCTCC